AAATTGTGCCAGCTGGAATTCTTAGCACAGGAGGAAGTGAGCTCTGTGGCAGAGAAGGGCTTCTGCAGAGAAGCATGTGCAGCACAAAGGTCTAGGATCCAAGCCATGTTTGTATGCCACTCAGAATACCAACTTCGACATGGTGTGCCACAGTAAATGGCTTCTCTGCGTTCAATTTCATTCTGAGGCCAGCTGTTAGGGGAAGCGTCACAGGCACTGAGCCCACGCCCCTTCTAGGTTGCTCACATTTGTCAGGACAGCCCCAGGGGGAGTTGTTAATCAGGATAATCAATAAGGATTAATCGTCTCCCAACAAAAGAGATCAGGAGAACAAGCCCTCGCTTGCTGCACGGTAGCTAATTGCACGGGGAAATAAGCAGGACTAATGTGTGCAGATAATTTACCTGATTATAGTTGCAATCGTGGAACTAATTATTCATTAGTCAAACACCCCCACCCCTCGCAGTCAATGGGGCTCTTTTTATAAGTGCTTTCAGCGCTCCAGCCTCCGGATGTAATCACGGAAACAGCACTTGTAAATGAGGCAAATAGACTTGTTTTAGTGGCAGCGCATGAAAAAAGATGGGGCGGGGGAGACAAGAAAATAAAGACAAGGGTCATCATGCATGCACAAATAGTTTCCGGGGGGGCCACTTCCCCACTGTTCTGCTCCCCCCCTCGTCTTATCTGTGTGCTACGCACATTCTTAAAACATAGGGTTTCAACTGACACTGACAGACTGGGGGGAGAAGCATTTCAGGGAGCAGGAGGGGCTAGGCAAGGAAGTCCCGTTCTGATGATAGAAATCCCATCAGCAGAGATTTTCTATGCGTGCCTGCCTGCCTAAAGCATGGCCAATTTACAGCAGCCCCTGCAAGTGGCCTTCAGGACAAGGGAGAAGCAGAGGTGGTCTGCCATGGCCTTCCTCTGCAGAGTCTTCCTTGGTGTTCTCCCTTCCAAGCACTGACCCGGCTTAGCTTCCAAGATCTGACAAGATCGGGCTGTACGGTGCTGCCTTCCCTCCCAAGATTTTCTGTGGGGTTTATTTATTTACTTACTCTGTTTACCTTTCTGCACGCTGGGGACCCGAAGGGGATTACCTCGTTCTCCTCTCTTCTGTTTCATCTTCACAACAACCCTGTGAGGTAGGTGTGAAATACTGCATTCTGGACACATTGCCGTGAAACAGCTCTACTTTATTAAGTGATTTCAGGAATACTACAAGACAAACTCCAGGGCAGCTGCCCTGTTGTTAAGCATGCAAACACCGCACCCCAAATACACCCCACTCCCAATGATAGGCTATTTACATAGCACTGGTCTACTCCAGGATCCCAGTAAGCTATTGTTCAGGGGAAAGAAGCTCAACCAGATCCTAGTACTGTCGCGGTCCGCGCGGAATGCTGGCTGGCACGCTAGTGCCCAGAGGAGATAGAGTACCCAATGATGAATGGAGTCAGGAACTTAGGTGCAACCACTGTGAGTTTATTCTCACCCAGCCACCACGTATATACAGTTCTGAGTGTCAATATGCTCCGCAGCA